ATGGTTTTGGTGGATACTTTTTCCAAACATTATGACCTATAGTGAGTACATATGTGATCATCTTAATAATTCAATTTTTTACTCATAGTTGGATATCTTCTATTCTTAACTCAATCAATGTCACCTTAATTCCTAAGTTTTATGAAACATATACTATTGAAAGCTTTAAACATATATTATTAGATAATTTCGAGTTTAAGATTATCACCAAGATCATAGTAAATAGATGTGATAGCATGGCTCTCAAGGTTATATCCCAACATAAGAGAAGGTTTATTAGAGGCATGAAAATATATATATATATATATATATATATATATATATATATATATATATATATATATATATATATATATATATATATATATATATATATATATATATATATATATATATATATATATATATATATATATATATATATATATATATATATATATATATATATATATATATATATATATATATAAATGTGTGTGTGGAAATTATCTTATTAGACAAGAAAGCCTTTGGAGAAAGCATGACAATGAAAAAAGACATCAAAACTTATTTGATATTTTAGAGTGAGGTTTCCTGCTTATAGTTCTTAATAATTTAGGTTTTAATCACAAGTTATGTATTTGGATTTCAATAATTATCCAATTAACCTAATTATATAAGCTACTCAATGGGAAGGCATATGGATTTTCAATTATTCGATAGAGGTTATACAAGGATGTTCCTTTTCTCTTTTACTTTCTGCATTGTTAAAGAGGCTTTAAGTAAGAAAATCTTCTATCTAGTGGAGAAAAGGAAAAATTTATGTATAAATCATAGAAGAAATATAATTCCAATTTATACTTTTTTTATTGATGATTTAATGATATTTTCTAAATTTATAAAGATAAATGCATCTATTAGTTATCGTATGCTTTAAGAATATGCCCAAAACTCAGGTAAAAACACTAGTCTAACCAAATATAAGATTTTTAGGGGAGCCATATCTAGAAATAGGCTAAGACAAGTAGTTGAAACTCTTGGATTCATCATTGGTCAAGCCAACTTTGATGACCTCAGTGTACCAACTTTCAAGGATAAATTAAGATCTCATAATTTTCAAATAGTTGCTTATAGAGTCATAGATAAATTATTAAATTATTTTTCTCAGGGGATATATGTTGGACCAGATGTCTGGGATAACTTGTCCAACTTGTTAAACCAGATTTTACAAAGTATGAAAATAACAATAATTCAAGGTAAAATCAATAAATAACATAAGTGAATTAGTTACCCGTTTCAGTGCAAACCACACCTACATCTGGGGGCATCTACACAAGAAAGGAAATTCACTCTTTTATAGAACTACTACAAAGTGTCTTAGATGAACAAGCCTCTTGTTCAATATCCCACTTCTTAATTGTACCCTAGTGTCTTTCTATCTAAGACTCCCCTTAAATATGAGAACCTGCTCTCACTTTCTCTCAATCACTAATCCCAAGTGATAAACTTCAATAAACAACATAGATAATATGGAATTGCAACTCAACAAACAAACCAACTACTATGCCTTATGATATGAATGAAGCAATAACATAGTATACAAGAACAAATACAAAATACTAAAATAAACCCTGTCACAAGGAATCTTAAATCCTAGCGTACACCTTCAAACATGAGATGAGAGTCTCCTTAAATAGAAATGAAATTATGGGCTTTTCCTCCTTTAGATATTTGATTTGATTTCGTCAAGAATTATAATAGATATAGTTGTATTTGATTTGCTCCATGAAAGTTTCCAATAAAAGATATGATTTGTTATTAATTCAAATTAAAATTTAAATCTCCATTTAAATTGATTTGACCTTCAAACATCTGTCAAACAACTCATACAAATATTGCTAAACAATCTGCAACAAATTTTATGGAAATAATCTAAAAATAATACAGAAAATACCTACAACATTGACATGCTAACAAGGGTCATATAATGCACGCATATTGGGATATATATTCCCACGCGTGTCCTTCTTCACAAAACAACTTGAGCAAACCATGTTATTTTGTATAATGCAGTCAATCTAAAAGCAACAATAATCTCCCCCATTGGCAACTTTTGGAAAAACAACATTCTTCAAAAATATCCAAGATGTGCAACATAAGTTAAGCAATAAGAAAACCACACATAAGCACAAATAGAAAAGAACAACAAAAGAAGAAATTAGAGAGTAGAAGAGTAACAACAACACAAATCAGTAGCAGAGTCAGAAGTCTAATGTTTTCTACACATAATCAAAGCTCCATAACAGACAGTCATTCCATCACTAAGCCAGTCATGCATGAACACACAATTAGTAGTTAAGTCAGAATCATCAAATACAACTAACTCAAATAGATCAACCTACAAAGTTCATGGCCAGATGCCATGCCACCAGATGCTTTAGCATGCATGCACATATACAAAACCATAACAATTGGTACTAAACACATAAGTTAGTACCATTCACACAAGAATCAACAACAAATATCAACACTACACCATACAATCAGTAGATTCAGTAGTCAGTAGTTAGAACACACTACCCTACACACCATTAATTTCCCCCTTTTCCATAATTTTGCAAAGGTATGTCCTAGAAAAATCATCCAGTCAACACATATGTCTTTATGTTAGCACACACATACAATAAATCAGGAGTAGAGAAACATCAACAATCATGAGAACATATGTTAGACATAATGTCAGAATAATGTAGAATAATTGTTAATGCTACAAAATCCTTACAACATCATCAATCCTAGATATATGCCCATATGCAAGGGCGGAAAAGGATAATTTAATAAAAACACTTGGAGAAAGTTATAGCTAGCCAACACCCAACCATATCAGACACCACAATATCCTACCAGATGTTTGGCACATCCTGATTAACTTAATATTCAAAAGTGACATCCTCCTCTTCACTTCTAGATTCCTCCTCTTCATTTCCATATTCCTCTTTTTCACTATCATCTTCTTCTTCTTCTTTTCTTTCTTTCTTATTGGTCATCAGATTAATCGATTCGTCCACATGTTTCTTCCTGATGGTGCTTGCAGTTATTGTTTTTTAAAAAGTCTTGGATATTTCCACCAGTTCATGTAACACATCCTTGTTAGTGTCTTTGAAGACCGAAGAAGAATTTCCATCTAGATCTTGTCCTTGGTTTCTTGGCACCAAAATGTACGGGACATGCGTTCGAATAAACAACCTGTAGTCAAAAGTCAGTGGCTATGTCTTCTTGTTCTTCATTTCTTCAGCATGCACAATATTGAGATGTTGGTTCAAGATTATCCTAGTGATTAAACAAGGAAAAGCTATTGGAAGCTTTACAGCATATGAGTAAACATGTCTCATGGTCTGGTTAAACACATATTCTCCAAAGTTCAATTTATAGTTGGTTCCAATTTGAAAGACCATCTTGGCCAAGACATAGGTGATTTCTGAACTATGATTAGTAGGAACCTAATTAGTTGCACCTATCTTGTCCGGTAAGGCATACTTCACATTCAGACTACCTGAAGAGATTAATCCTTTGTTAGGCCATTATTTGACACTCCTTGTAGTTATTATTCTAGCTATTTTGTCCGTTGATAGCACCTCCTCTTCTTCTGCCCAAGAGTTCATTTATTATCTCAGGATCTAACTTCACACAACAACCCCTTGCATACACCTTCGTTAATTCTTTGCTACCTATAATATTTTATTCATTGGACAAGTTAACAATGAACTCCATGACTAATTTTTCATTACAAGGTCCAATGTCTGAAACAATTTTCATTAATTCAACATACTTATGTATATCCATGATTTCATGACACTCAAAAGTATATTTTCTTAGATCCCTTTCATGGGAAACTCTTCTTTGGACCATAAACTTCTAGTTATGCATACTACCTTCTGAGTGAAATGACACATTGTCACAGGGTGAAGCAGGAATATTTGCTGGAACTCTTTTTCCTCCAATCTTTCTCCTGGAAGAGGGAACAATATCTAGGACATCTACTTTAACAATAGTCTCTGATTCACTTGATGACAAATGTTTTGTCTTGAGAAAGTTTCTCTTAATATCCTTTTCTTATACTTTCTTATTCTTTTTCACTGGACTTGTCCTATGAGTTTTTTACTTCACATTCTTCATAAAATACCTTGGAGTATTAATTTTATGCTCTTTAGCTTTATCAATTATAGACCTAGCTAAGCTTTTCAGAACAGTCAGATCTAGTTCTTGATCAACCTTCTCTTTAATAATATTTTTCATGATGTTGGCAATGGGAATGTCATCATCCTCATTGTATTCTTCATTCCTTTTACCATGAGTTTCAGCCTCTTCATTTTGAGGATTCTCATTTTTCAAATATTCAAAAGAGTCATTACTTTCATCTAATATCTCATTCACATAAGGATTAAAAATAGGAATATTCACAGTTGGCTCATTAGGGGGTTCAACCTATGGTTCACCAGATGTTAGAACAAATGCTTCGGCATTTGGTTCAACGTGTGAATCAACATGTGATTCAACATATGGTTCCACATGTGGTTCCTTAGCAATGGTATCAGCATGAGCAATGTTTTTTGTAACACTCTTCTAAACCCCAAGGAAATATTCACAATTAAATTGATAAATAGATCAGAGTAATACACCAAAAAGAGTGTCACATCTTTATACAAACAATCATATAATAAATCAAGACATACTGCTATGTAACACGAGTTTTCAAAATCAGTTATGTCAAATACTTCATGGGCATCAACCATGGCTTTTCGATTAACTCGCAACATAAATTCATAATTCAAACGACTTTATTTAAAATACTTCGAAACATCTTCATCAAATAAAACAACTCAAATATCGCAAGGGTAGTTCAAATCTCAAAAGAAACAAGATGACATAGTCATTTCATAAACAAATGATCACATCCCCGATGTTACATATCAGAGAAAGACCTTATCAAATCTATGGAAATAAACAAAGCACTTCGACGACTAATCTCTAAGCTCTGACGGACTATTCCTGATCGCCTACGTGTTACCCACGTGTAGGCAACATTTAAACAGAAAGGGTGAGTAAATCAAACTCATTATAAAATACATAAGGAGTAAATATAGTAGTTATAACACAACCTCAAAGAAACACCACATGTTATACTCACGCCTTCGCAACACCATAATGATCATCGGATACATAGTGTTCTCATCAATTAGAAATTATCACAAAATACACATTCATAAGATATCATTCAATCCAATCATCATGCAATGCCATATATAATGCAATGCAACTTCATTAGAATCATGCATGTTTTATCAAAACTTCACTGATGACACCGTCATTGTTTCCTCCAAAGATCCCCACCAATAGGATCGATTCCTGCTTGAAACCGTAGCACATCACAATTTGCTCTCAATCCACACTATGGAATTGAGGCTATTACTAGACTATTCGTCCTACAGAATCCACTGGAACAATATTCTGCAACCATCATTGAGATATGCCCTATCATATGGTATAAATGCATGATGTGAAACATCTCAATAACAACATGACCATGACTAGTCAAAATGCATAATCATTTATTCATTTACCATAACATCAATATATACATATATTATATACATGGTATCATCATAAAAATCACCATATCATCAAAACCACCACATAACATCATCAAAGTATCAACAATTCATTATATACGCATACATCATATCAAAACAACCATGAAATCATTCTATTCATCAAAGCCTAGGTACTAGACAAACACGTCTTATGACTCTTTTTATTCCACCAAGGTATAGATCATCGCGTCATATTTCTAACACTTCAAATGATGCATCAATCGGAGTCCTGAAACTCAAGTTATGACACTTTTTTAAAATGCTACTGTTGTCTATCGCAAGATGCCCTCCCGACGACGTGGAAGCGACAACACAACTTTCCATTTTTGGTCTCCATCGTCTGACGCTACATCCTGCTCGCCTGACGCTGCATTCCTCGCCTCAAAGTTGCTTGGCGACACTCCAGCGAGGGATTATCCCCCATACAAAATCCAGGGGCTCTGTTTTTAACCCCTTCCCATCGCCTCCTTCTCGCCTGGCGCTGCTGGAGCGAAGCTTCATCGCCCGACGCCCATATTCACCGCCCAACGCTGCAGCGTGGACATGGTTTTCCTATTGTGATTTGCGCACTGCGCCAATGCCAATTTCCTATGATTCCTTCACATGATAGGTCTCAATTCACCATAACTACTCATAGTTTCATTATGTAACAACAACATATCATATCATACACTTCACACATCAATTCATTACATACCAACATCTCAATTTTATCAATTTACCGTCAAAGCATCATGATAGACTCATTAACAAATCCCAAACACCAACCTACAATTATCTAAACCTTAGTTCTATTATAATAACAACGATAAACACCCCTTACCTTATAATCACTTAGAAATTGATCCTTGTTCTTGGCATTCTACCAAAAATCCCTTTTTTCTCTCTGAGACCTAACTTTTCCAAGTGTTCTTCTCTTTTTCTATGATCGTATAGAATAAGACTCTTTCCCCTTATTCCTTGTTTAACCTTTGGACCCTTAATATGGTCTTCCACCTTTTCCCTCACTTAACCTATCACAATTGACTATTTTCCCTTTTCATCTCTAATACCAATATTTACTCTATTTTACTAATTAAAATAATTTCTAACTAATTATTCTAATTATCTCAATATTATTTAAAATACTCAATATCTCTTAATTCCTACCACTCCACCATACACCATACAAAACATCATATAAAGCATCATGATCATGAACACATCATATAAACATCACAAAAAATCATCATAATTAAATTAAATAATTAAATAAATAATCTAATTATTTTGGGGTGTTATATTTTTCCTAGTGTAATTAGAAACAACTACCTCATTAACATACATACTTTCAGAAATATTATGAAAGGTACAAATGGTTTATTTCTAGAAGTACTAACCTTTTTAGCATATTTATTCTTCATAGTAGTAGTGTTGTTTGTTCTTCTTGATGAAATATGAACGAAAACAATTATACTTAGAGGTTTTGGGTTTAAAAACATGATAGGTTCATCATCATTTTTGCTAGATTCATAAACCATAGTTTCCTTTGATGTTTCTTTCTCCCCCATTTTAACCCCTTACATCTTAACCCTATATGCGTTAGTGATAGGCTTTGGTTCAATATGTTTAACATCTGTGGGTTTTTGGATCATTTTGAAACTGGTTTGAAAGAGACGCAGATGAAAAATTATCCTAGTATGATATATATATATATATATATATATATATATATATATATATATATATATATATATATATATATATATATATATATATATATATATATAGTGAGATAGAGAGAGAGATACCAATAACTCTCCAGACATGTGGAAATGGAGTAGTTTTGAAAATGCACTAAAATAAGAATAATGTGCCTTATTTCTTGTGTAGCAATGATAGCAGGAGAGAGAAAATTTCCTTTTTCACACCTTCTTTGCTTTCACTTTTCATTCATGAAAAAAACAATAGTGCTCTTTAGCCTTTCAAATTCAACTTTATTTGAGTACTTACTATGACAAAGAAACATATTGCCTTCAATTTTAACTTGATTCCCATGATATTAACTGAACTCTCCACCTAGACTTTTCTCAATTTTAGACTGCATATGTTGGACACAGTGTTCCACTATCTTGTCTGACATTTTACCAATCCAATAGTCAAAACCAAGTTTTCCTATATCACTTATTACATATAGTTTTATTTCTTCAACCCATGCCTTTCATTTGTGTAGTTTCCACGAGGTTAATTGGAAGTATCTTCAGACTTTTAGGGAGGGTAGAATGCTGAAGCATCTTGTGGAACATCTTTCCTATTTGGAACACTTTACATATTTTAATAGCTTCTTCATATATGATCTCCTCCATGCTCTTAACCTTTGATAAGGACCGAGATATCCACATATAATAGTTGTCTTTGGATCTTGAACTCTTCATTAGCCCATTTGATCTTTGCTAGAGACAATACATTATGACTTGTAATAGCTAAAATACAGACCTTGATCACATAGTTGACTTATGTTGATCAAGTTAGTAGTTAATCCTTCTACCAAAAACACATTATCATAACAAGGAAGACATGGATAGACCACTTTATCCGTTCCCTTGATTTTTCTTCTTGCTCCATCACCAAAGGTGACATAGCTATTAGAGTATGGCTTTACCACTATTAAAGTACCAGTCTTTTCTTGAGTAAACTCTAAGAGATGTATGAGCTAAGAGACAAGTGATATTTTCCTTGGGTTTCCACACTTTCTTTGCTTGATTTTTCTTCCCTTTCTTTCTGTTAAGCCTTGGTTGACTATGAGATTAAGGATAATCATAAAATTTATAACAAAAAGGTCTAATGTGACCATATATACCACAATGGTGACACCTATAAGATGAGTTCTTGTATCCTTTGTCATGAGGGAATACATGTTGAGCAGGATGCTGGGACACGTGGTCCTTCATTAGGAACATAATTTTCTTCTTAGCAGAGACAAACTTCATAGTGGAAACTTTGACCTTTTTTTCATGGAATTGTAGTCAAACCCTACAATATTCATATTCCATGTGACAACATTCACCATATTTGAGTCATTGTTCATCGTACTTTTAGACTTTGTCAAATTATCATGTTTGGAATTCAACAAGGCTACTTCCTATTTCAACCCAACAATGGTTGAAAGCAGTTTATCTTTTTCTTGAAGAAGAGTACTTATGGTATTCTTCTATTTTTATCTAGTCAAGCAAGCTTCCTTTCATTGCTGTGCAAGAGTCTAAATTTAGCAGTTAACTCTTTTTCACCCATGTCTTCATTACTAGTCTCTTTCAGACTCATACTTCCTAGTGAAACCCATTACTTTGTTAGTTGTTTATTCTTCACTCTCATCATCAGATTCAGACCAAGTGATTTATGATCCCTCTTTTGTTTCTTTATAAAACTAGGACATTCAACTTTAATGTGACCAAAACTTTCACAAAAATAACTTGAACAAACCATGTTATTTTGCATAATGTAGTCAATCTAAAAGAAACAACAAATTAGCAACATGGAAAAGGAATATAGTATCTATGATGGGAAGAGTTATACTAGTAAGGTTTATGATATATGGAATTCTTTTATATAGTCTCAAAATTTATGAATGACTTGTCTCCCTCATCAATATGATACATTCTTGCACAAGGAGTTTTGTGTGGTTAGGAAGCATTGGTGATAGGAAATTGATAACTGTCAAATGGAACATTGTTTATTCTCCTATATCAGCAGATGGTTTAGGCCTCAGAGACATTAGACTCATTAACAAAGTTAGATGTCTACATATTTGTTGGAAGTAGATCACCTTAACAAATCAATGAGAAAATAATATGCAAAATATATACTTTAAGAAAAATAAGCCAATTAATCATTTCATATCATCCTTATTATGTCATGAAATAAAGCACAATATAAGATTTATTGAGGACCATACCATATGGTAGATTAATAATGGTAGAGATAACAACTTATGGTATGATAAATGGTTGGAATACAAGATGCAAGACCTACATGTGGTGCTTCTTGCAACTCTCCAGTACCTACAAACTTCTTTTATTGGCACACTTGAACACAATAATAAATAGAACATTCCTAGTAGTTTTGAATAATTTTCTTCTCATATCACAAACCATATTCTCTCTCTAATTTTTCATTTTCACTTTCTCTCACTATTTCTTATAGCCAAATGCTTTTGTGAGGAAAGATCTCTTGTGAGTGAGGTGTTCATGTAATTCTGGTTTGGTAGCATTGTATAACTTCTCCAAGAATGGTGTTTATACATCTTGGATGAACACAATCCATTTAGGGATAAAAAAATGTGTTTAGAAGATAAACTCATTAAAAGCTTTGATTGGGGGATTATGTGATCAATTCCTATGTTTATTTAGGTTGAAGATCGTTAACATTGATGAACTTTACTTAAGGTTCTTAGTAAGCCGTGTTTATTTGAAGGTTAAAAATTATCAATATTGGTGAACTTACCATTAGGTTCATGGTTATCCTATTTAAAACCATAGGTTAGAAGATCATCCTGTTAAAATCTCAAGAGGTTATTGGTTATCCTGTTAAACCAAATTATTTTATGGAGAGAAGACTAACCTCTTCAATCTATAGTTGGAAATGAAGCTTGGCCACTTCAGTTTTAACAGTTTCAATTGAGAAGACGCAAACGATCATATATCCCGTCTTGTAATATTTTTGTTGTAGAACAACCAACATTTCCTTGTATAAGGGGGTTCATGAGCTTTACCTACTAAAAAGTCTCAAGTATATAATGAAAACTCTCAAGATTAGTTCTTGGGGAGAAGAGTAGGTCGCTTTTTATTATGACCGAACCTCTATAACTCTCGATGTTTTTCTTTTTCCCTTAACTCTTTTATTTTCCGCACTTTATTTTGATCTATAGATTTATATTCAGCTGCTAAGTCTTGAAAAAAACTTTTAAAAATCTGATAGATCTTAGGAAAAGTTTTTAAAACCATGTTTTTTCTAAACCACACAAGTCACCCCCTCTTGTGAGTGAAATCTCAAGTCCAACCAAACTAACATGGGCCACACTCCTACTCTAATTCCCCTCATCTTCCAACCAAATATGGCTACCAACACCACAACCTATAACACAAACACCATCAGCGAAGGTTTTGTTGGTGGAGCTAACTCTAGATCTTCCCAGAGTAAATACCTAAGGCACATGTTTACGACAAATGTAATATGCCATAGCTTCCCCATAAGTTCTCAAGGGAAAAAGGGGTTAATATCATCTTCTCTGAGGAGGACACCCTCAGTCTTAACCCTCACGATGATAATCATCTGGTCATCATTGTTCAATATGGAAATCGAGACAACTGATGCATTCTGATAGACCATAGTAGCTCTATTGACATCCTATTTTGGGATGTCTTTCAGAGACTACAACTTAACCCGAGTGACATAAAATTTTTTAGTAGTTTTTGACGAGGTTATCAGGTGAGCAGGTACAAATAATGGGCCACATAACCCTTGAAACCACATGTGGAGAGGGATCAATCTCCAAGGAAATTAACATCATCTACCTCATTGTAGATGCCCTATCACCTTACAACATCATTCTGGGGCAATCGACTATTAACGCTCTAGAAGTAGTCGTGTCCACATTGTACTTGACCTTGAAATATACGCTTACTGATGTACGATTCAGTTTGATTCAAGGGACCAACAAGAAACTCTAGACTGTTTCAAAGTATCATGGAGATAGACACATAAGAGCTCGCCCTTATTGATGTCCCCCTTCCGAATTTCTAAATAATGAATTCTAATGTTGGGACCCCAAATTGGGGCGAAATTGAAAAAGGCTCAGGCCCACAGAAGATCTGAAAGGGGTCTAGATAGGTGCTCACGCTTATCAGGAGATGAAGATAAGTACTTAATTATCCACATAAGAGGTCGAGAAATAGTTGACTAATTCATTAAGAATGATGACCTATTTTTCTAGGATCCCTTCGACATGCCAGAAATAGACTCCAAAGTGGTGAGTCATCTCCTCGCCATCCATCCTTCTGCCAAACCAATGGCACAAAGGATGCGAAACGTTTGCAAGGAAAAAAGAGTTGCCATTGTTGAAGAAATAAAATATCATAGAAACAAAACATTCCACCTGAATAGTTAATGTGGTTCTAGTATAGAAGGCTTACAACATTTAGTGCATGTGTGTAGAATTCACCGATTTAAATTCCATCTACCCTAAAGATCCATACCCACTTCCAGGCATAGATCATCTCATTGAAGGTTCATTAGGCTAGCAAACATTGAGCTCCATGGATGCGTATTCGAGGTACAACCAGATCCAGATGGATCCCTTGGACGTGTCGAACATAACCTTTATGTCGAATCATGGAAACTACTACTATAATATCACACTGTTGTACCCCAAAATTTGTCCTCCCATTTTCCACTCAAGATTCTATCCCATGTTTTTTCAAACACTCAATTTGGCTCAAAAGTTGATCAAACAAATTCTCTTCCTAGGCAACCAGTCAACAATTAGGGTTTTGCACTTCTCAAAGGTTTTCCCAAT